ATTGGTCAAACCTAAGTTGTAAGCTTTTGACACCACCCGATGGAATGATATAAATTAATATATTGTAAGTCATGTTATTAATTAATATATGTTTCATACTTATCAAACGAGGGAAAAAGGTACCTTTGGCAACCAAAAAAAAAAAAAAGAGTTATCTTCATTTCAACATATTTATTTTCTCTTCAAAAATTGGTTAAAACTTTGTGTTTCTTTTTCGTAATTCTCGTTCGATTTTATCCACTGCTGATCGTACCGCACCAAGACGTACATACGTTAACCGATTTTGTAATATAAATAATTTCCAACCTAAATTCGAATCGAACCAGCAATTCACCTTTGAATTAGAGACCTAATTTGAGGAGGTAGGTGAGATGGGTAAATCAATAAATGGTGAAAATTGGGGAGAAGGAAAGAAGAAATGGCAAAACAGGAGAAAAAAAAGGTCATGATTCATGAATATATTTATGACGAAAATGGTGGGACTTAGGCCATTTATGAGACGGTTTACTGCTTGGTTCGTTTGCTTCAAAGTTCAACCACCTGCTCTCCTCTCCCTTCAACTGTACAAATTACAAACATTCATTCACCTTTTCTTTCCCTGCCCCAAGTATTTTTGTGCTATACACAAAACACTTCTACCACTACCTAATTATTACTTGACTTGCCTTCCTGGTGAGGTTTGTTGCATACAGAAGCATACACTTGGATAAAATGGAAATAAGACTTGTCTGAAACAAATTTATTTTTTTGGGTGTGTGCCATTTCCTGCAGGTGGGGAACTTCATGCACTACTTCAGCAGATTCGTGTTTGGGTTCATCATAGGGTTTGCCAAGGTGTGGCAGATCAGCTTGGTCACGCTTTCCATAGTGCCTTTCATCGCGCTAGCAGGTGGCATCTACGCGTATGTCACCATCGGCCTTCTTGCCAGAGTCCGCAAGTCTTATGTCAAAGCAGGCGAAATCGCACAAGAGGTAGTGAATCTGCAACCTCTGCATCTAATAGAGTTCGAGAATCGTGTTAATGCTAGAGATACAGTATCATCTCATGCTGATGTTTTTTTTCTGGTCAGGTGATTGGCAATGTGAGAACAGTGCAAGCATTTGCAGGAGAGGAAAAGGCAGTAAGATCGTACAGAGATGCTTTGAGCAAAACTTACGAGTATGGAAGGAAAGCAGGACTAGCCAAAGGGCTTGGACTTGGAAGTGTCCACTGCGTGCTCTTCCTTTCGTGGGCTCTGCTCGTCTGGTTCGTCAGCATCGTCGTCCACAAGAACATCTCGAATGGTGGCGAGTCCTTCACCACCATGCTCAATGTGGTCATTTCAGGCCTGTAAGTAGTGGTCAGGTTCAATTATTATGTACACACTCACTAGAACCAATTCACTAGCTTACAACATTTTACCTCAAATTATCTATCCACTGCTTGTCTTATTTACTTACCTGTTTCATGCTTTTTGCCAAAAAGATCGCTGGGACAGGCAGCTCCAGACATCACAGCATTCATCAGGGCGAAAGCAGCAGCAGGTCCTATATTCCAGATGATAGAGAGGCACAGTGTGAGCAAAACCAACTCCAAAACAGGCAAAAGATTAAGCAAGCTTGAAGGTCACATACAATTCAAGGACGTCTCATTTCGATACCCTTCTCGCCCCGATGTAACCATCTTCGACAAGCTCCGCCTCAACATACCCGCTGGCAAGATTGTGGCTCTCGTCGGAGGGAGTGGTTCTGGGAAGAGCACGATCGTGTCACTAATCGAACGATTTTACGAGCCAGAGTCTGGGCAGATTCTGATTGACGGGGTCGATATTAAGGATTTCGATCTCAAGTGGCTGAGGCAGCAGATTGGTCTGGTGAATCAGGAACCTGCATTGTTTGCCACCAGTATTAAGAAAAATATTCTGTATGGGAAAGATGATGCCACAATGGAAGAGATCACTCACGCTGCTAAGCTGGCTGAAGCTTCTTCTTTCATCAACAACCTGCCTGATAGATTCGAAACTCAGGTACTTATTTGCATAAAGCAAAAAAGAATTGGCCTGTGCTACAGGGTAAAACTGTCTGGTTGTAATGCTGTTGATGTTTTGGCTTTTTGGCAGGTCGGGGAGAGAGGAATCCAGCTATCAGGCGGGCAGAAGCAGAGGATAGCAATATCTCGTGCAATAGTGAAGAACCCATCAATTCTATTGCTCGATGAAGCTACAAGTGCACTTGATGCGGAGTCGGAGAAAAGCGTGCAGGAGGCACTCGATCGAGCCATGGTTGGAAGGACTACTGTTGTTGTAGCACATCGGCTTTCCACCATTAGGAATGCCGATATGATTGCTGTTGTTCAAGGAGGGAAGATTGTGGAAATTGGCAGCCATGAAGATCTCATTGCAGACTCAAATAGTGCATATGCGTCACTTGTCCACCTTCAAGAAGCTGCATCAAATCAACGCCACCCATCTTCAGGTCCCACAATGGAACATCAGCTGAGGTAACCATATAGATGACTTCTGGCCTAACAGTAATGGACAATTAGTAATAACATTCTATCAAGCGAGTTATAGGTACTCAAATCTGAAGGCATTATGTGGATGATTGTAATTCTAGCTACCTTGACAACATAAGATGCTAAAAACCCAGCCAACATTTCAGATAACATAACAAGTTAAAATGAAAAAAACATATGAAGAGTCATGTTATATGCATTGATGTGTCTCTTCCTGTCCTTTGTCTGGTCTCTGCCAGCGGAAAGCACTCTCAAGAGCTATCCCGCACCAGATCAAACTTAGGAGCAAGCTTCCGTTCTGATAAGGATTCCGTCATCAGTCGGGCAGGCTTGGACGGTGCAGAACCGGCCAAGCCACCTACTGTTTCCATGAGAAGGCTATATGCCATGGTTGCTCCTGATTGGATCTATGGAGTCTCTGGCACCATAGGCGCCTTCTTTGCTGGAGCACAGATGCCGCTTTTCGCACTCGGTGTGTCTCAGGCGCTTGTGTCCTACTACATGGACTGGGACACAACTCGCCATGAGGTCAAAAGGATAGCAATCCTCTTCAGCATTGCTTCGGTGTTGACAGTTATTGCTCATGCTGTTGCACATCTGTCGTTCGGGATCATGGGAGAGAGACTTACATTCCGAGTCAGAGAAAAGATGTTCTCTGGTAAATTTTGTGGCTTCAAGTAGCATGGATTTGCATGCCATAACTACAACACTATCCTCACCTCCTCCATACTATTGCTTGCAGCCATCTTGCAGAATGAAATAGGATGGTTCGATGACTTGAACAACAACAGCTCTATGCTGGCATCACGTCTCGCGACCGATGCAACTCTGCTGAAAACAATAGTAGTCGATCGCTCCACCATTCTCTTGCAGAACCTCGGTTTGGTGGTTACGTCATTCGTCATTGCATTCATCCTGAATTGGAGAATCACTCTTGTTGTGTTAGCTACATATCCACTCATCATTAGTGGGCACATCAGCGAGGTAGTATCCGTTTTCCTTTTTTGCACCCCTCGGATTTTAAGAAGTAAAAACTACTTGCAGATATTCAATTAGCTAACCAATGTGGGAAATCAGAAACTGTTCATGCAAGGTTATGGTGGCAACTTGAGCAAAGTGTACCTGAAAGCCAACATGCTAGCTGCTGAGGCCGTAAGCAACATACGAACAGTCGCGGCATTCTGTGCAGAAGATAAGATCCTTGATCTTTATGGGCACGAGCTAGTGGAACCTTCCAAGCGTTCGTTCGCACGTGGACAGATTGCAGGGATATGCTATGGGATATCCCAGTTCTTCATTTTCTCGTGCTATGGACTCGCTCTATGGTATGTGTGTGTGGCTCTCCTTAGATTTCAGCTTCAGAAATATTTAGTAACATTATGCCTCTGAGCATAATACCAATTTGATCATCAAACTTGGCCACATATATCATATTGAGACTAAAACTCGATATTGAGATAAATAAAGCACCGAACTAGCTCTGATAGCTCACCGTTAGCATTTTTGTCTCGGTTGTCATACCCCTGCTAGTTGTCGCCATTATGTTGTTGATTGGTAGCCACCAACAAAGTATGCTTCTGGTGATTCATTAGGACAAGTTAGGTGCTTTAGATGTTTTGAACCAAGTTCAGTAACCAACACGGGAATGACTCTGGTGACCAAAAAAGAATAATGAATTGACTCTTGCCTTGACTTTTGTAGGTATGGTTCTACTCTTATGGAGAAGGAGCTCGCTAGCTTTAAGTCCGTCATGAAGTCATTCATGGTTCTGATTGTAACAGCACTAGCCATGGGTGAAACTCTTGCATTAGCTCCAGATCTTCTGAAAGGGAACCAGATGGCTGCATCGGTCTTCGAGGTTTTGGATCGGAAATCACAGATGAGCGGAGATGCCGGGGAAGAGTTGAAGAATGTAGAGGGTAAGGTTGAGTTGAAGAACATCTGTTTCAGCTATCCAGCAAGGCCAGAAGTCGCCATTTTCAAGGACTTCAATCTGCAAGTGCATTTGGGCAAAAGTGTGGCTTTAGTAGGACAAAGTGGATCTGGAAAAAGTTCTGTTCTTGCACTCATTCTCCGATTTTATGATCCAACATCAGGCAGAGTGATGATTGATGGTGAGTGTTCTTCCTTTTTGGTCCTTCTAATTAGAATTCATCTTATAGAGACATAATTATGATACAATCCATAATAATGTGCATAGATGAATCATCATATAGAGTTGAGTAGTTGTATAAAAAATTACTTCAGTGGCAAACTTAAATTGTGAAGTCAAGTTCACCAACCAATGTTGTATTTACCTCGGATTGACATCATCTTGATAACGTTTCAACAGGGAAAGACATCAAGAAACTGCAATTGAGATCGCTCCGTAGGCACATAGGCCTAGTCCAGCAAGAGCCAGCTCTCTTTGCAACATCTATCTATGAAAACATACTGTATGGCAGAGAAGGGGCCACCGAAGGAGAAGTAATCGAAGCAGCTAAACTCGCCAATGCACATAGCTTCATCAGCGCCCTTCCTCAGGGCTACTCCACCAAAGTAGGTGAACGAGGGGTGCAACTATCTGGCGGCCAGAAGCAAAGGGTAGCAATTGCTCGGGCAGTGCTGAAGAACCCAGAAATTCTTCTGCTAGATGAAGCCACCAGCGCTTTGGATGCAGAGTCAGAGCACATTGTGCAACAAGCACTGGATAGATTGATGAGGAACCGTACGACGGTGATGGTGGCCCACAGACTGTCAACCATAAAGAATGCAGATCAGATATCAGTCATACAAGATGGAAGAATAATCGAACAGGGAACTCATTCGAGTCTTGTACAGAAGAGAGAAGGAGCATATTTTAAGCTAATCAACCTTCAACAGGAGCAACAAAAGGGAGCACTAACATGATTTTTTAAGAAGACTACATATTGCAGTCATAGGATACATGTTCATTTTTCTGCATCCCATTCTGTCCATTTTTTATGTTTGATCTTGGAGTTCTGACTTTGTCTTTGTGATGTATAATAGAGACGTATGTGATTACTAATATTGAGAGTGTGGAAGCAATGAATAATAGTGAAGCAATTCTTGAAAAGCCGCTATTTTTAGATCATAACCCTACAGACACAAAAAGCCAATGAGATACAAGTTTTGACAGCATAATGCCAGAAAACATTTGATAAATTAGTTTGCAATTTCAAACAACAAAGACTAGAGTAATGTGTCAAGAACCAGTTGATCCCAATAACTCGAGTTGTTGGGAGAGGTTCAATCGTGGATCATAACACTAACACGCCCCCTCAAACGAAAGCCACTCACAAGGGCTTGAAATTTGCACAGGTCTGAAGACAAGAATACCATGTGCTTAACAAATGGGGGTCACCGGGAATCTCGAACACAAGACCTCTCGGTCACAGAAGGCTCTGATATCATGTCAAGAACCAGTTGATCTCAATAACTCGAGTTGTTGGGAGAGGTTCAATCGTGGATCATAACACTAACATAATGGACTACCAAACACCTATGCATCCATTCACATTACTCATATAAGTCCAGGACCACCATTAAAGCCACATTAACAGGCCTAGCACAAGTACCTGTGAGCTTTTCAAACATTCAAATGACATCAGCTAGAAACTATAAAGTGTCACCCCGTAGCTAACCCTATTCTTACCAGCCACGACTGTGCTATGTGCGGATCTACCAATGCCTTCACATAGTAGGATAGAGTTCCGGAAGAAATACATATCCACAGCAACCCCTGCAAAAGATTATGTTGAGCTAGAGGGATGAGAATGAAAATGGGAAGGGGAAAAAATAAACCATCTGGCAAATGTTAAAGTAATCGAGAAGAGGATAAATGAAACTGTAGATAGATAAATCATCTAACCTAAACTAAGCTCAAGACTTTGGCTTTATGCTCAGAGGTACACCATTCAAATTTTACACACACCTGAAACGCGCGAACTACGCATAACGATGTTCGGATGGATATTCCAATATGCCATTTCTTTCCACAAATCGTCACACTTTTCGAAATCAACCTTCTGGCAGAACCCCATGAATCAAGATGCTGTAGCTATATATGTCTGATGATATCCCGGCTGACCTCATTTCTTCCAAGAGCTTCAGTGCTTCATCCACTTCACCTTGTTGGCAAAATCCATCGGATAATAGCATTATAACAATAACTATTGTAGGAACAGTTACTATTCCTTAAATCCCGTACGTATTCCAAAGCACACTCAACGTAACCAACTTTACAAGGAGCATGTACAACCGTACTGTGAGTTACAGCTGTGGGTGTAAGCCCAAATTTCTGCATTTCGTCCAGTACCTCCATCAGAGCATGAACAAGGTCTACCTCACTGATACGGTAGAAGTTCAGAAGAATGGTGTAGGTATGAACGTTAGGCCAAGGACCAGAATTCCTCAACTGATCAAATACATCGACAAAAAGTTCATCTCTCTTGTGAGGTTCAACCTTATTTTCCTTAGCCTGCACTGACACACTAACTGCATTTTCCATCAACTTCTTCTCGGCCATAAATTTTATTAGTACACTCCACAAGGAAGATAATACTCCAGCAAGCTCAGGGGATCCTAACAGACTCTGAGACAGCCCCAAAACATCCAAATCAACCCGCCGATAATATGAAACAATATCTCTAAGCAAGAATTGAACGTTGTTCTCTAGCCCCGCAACTGCAAACACCTCCATAACCATTTTAAACGCACGAATTGAATGGGCATAACCATGGAACCTCACTGCCTGAACAAACTTGCCTTTCCTCACCGCCCCCAAATTCAAAGTCTTTCACAGCCATAGCAACAAACGGAAACAACTTACACGTCTCTTGATCACTAACCTCCTTGCAGGATACAAATGATTTCTCTACAACGGCAGTGTTGTTCTCAGTAACGGGCAAAACGTCGAACACCTGGTGTTCATCCGACGCCAGTAGTGTAGAGGAGACGGGAATTAAGCCGATTCAAGCCAACAAGGTCTCCGTAGACATGTTCGAGACAGAGAAAGAATACGCATCAACAGCAAAGCCAGTCTAAGTAGTTATATTCTGAGAAACTCAGAGGACGCTCCATAACCAAGGACTGTATGAGTGAACAGTAATGCGAGCTTTATACCTTTGAAAGAAATCTCTAAGTCGTGAGTTGCAAATATTCATCAGAAGCTAGAGAAGGAAATGGATGAGGCCAACTGGCCGCCGCTATCAGATTACAGGAAATACCGTCCAAACTCCAAAACAATCCCGCCGCGCTGTCTCGCTCGTCGCCGCTTACGAGTTGGGAGTAGGGATGGCAAAAATATCCGTAACCGTGAATATCCACTCGAATCCGGTCTAATTGGGTAGGGTAAAATCCGGACCTGAAGGATATTTAGTGGGTACGGGTAAAACTCGAACCCGAATATTGCGGGTAATGGGTGGGCATGAGTTTCTCAGTATCCAACCCGAACCCGCCCGATTATACACATACATATGTATTTTGTCTAGAAATAGTCATTATTTTTCTCTAACATATTTTATATTTAGCATATAAATATAATATTTTCATGAAATTGTGTTGTTTTAATTAATTTTCTTCATTCTAGTGAATTGTTGTCATACTTTTCCTCTTGCGTAATGTGAGAACATGTGTGAATGTTAACATATTAGTTGTAGTTATGAAGAGAAATCATTACCCATGGATAACCGTGGATACCCGAAACCCGAACAGGTATGAGCATGGTTTTAATTTTCTACCCGTTTTATATGTGGGTATGAGTATGGGTAAAACCCGAACTACTTTGGATAAAGTAACGGATATGCACTATCCGTTCTCGACCCGACCCATTGCCATCCCTAGTTGGGAGACGGGCGGCGGAGGGGTAAATGTGAGTTTCGTACATCATTCGTTTATTGTTAAATCTCAAACAAATGCCATTAGAAATACCTTTCCCGTGTTAAACTCGAACTAACTTTTTTTTATTCCTAATTACTTTGTGTATAGAAGAACACTAGTGTGGCCCCGGGTCAGTTGGCCGGAGGAAGGTAGGATGGCAATGGGTCGGGTTGGGTCGGGTTTTGCCAAATTCAAATCCAAATTCATGGGTTTATCCGTGAAAAAAATTCGGGGTAAAATCCACTGGGTTTGAAAAACTCAAACCCAACTCAACCCCCTGGGTATCCGTGGGTTCATGGGTACCCACAGGTTTTTGTCTTAAAAAATTTACAATAACAAGTTGCTATCAAAATTAAAGTCAAATATCAATCTCTCAATACAAATTATCCATATATATAAAATACCATTCTAGAAAATTCAAGCAAATAACAAATTATCCATAAATAACATGATTAATTGAAAGCTTCTTCCTTTCAATTAAGTTTCTTCACTCTCCACTCGATAACATCAACTTCATTCTACACAATTAGAAAGAAAAAATTAGACATGTCTCCACAAACATAAATAAGATAAGTTGTTTAGAATATTAAATATATCGAGAAAATTAATTATATGGGTGTGGGCGGGTACCCATGGGTCGGGTTTACCTAAACCCAAACCCAACCCAACCCAATGAATATTGAACGGGTTTAAACCCAAAACCTGTCAACACGGATTTTACCCGCGTTGACCGAGTTGGGTAGGGTGGGTACCCGTGGGTTCGGATTTTGTTTTCATCCCTAGAGGAAGGTGAGGTATGAAATTTGATAATGTAATGGGGTGTATAACTTATTGTTGTATAGTTTTTTTGGGAAACACGTGATAAAAATAGTGAATTTTAGCAGGAAAGAGACATTAATGATGCAACAAATAAAAAATCGGCCTTATGAACCAAAATCAAGTACCTGTTACCTTGTGAAACAATATTGTTTCTGGTAATATGATGAGGTGGAGTAAGTTTTATAGAAACTGAATTCCAGAAAATTGAATAAAAAATCGCCTATCCCGTCGGTTTTCGGGAAATGAGCATCTCACAATCGTTGCTAGCTTTTACTCGGCCCGTTGGCCGATTAATTTGGTTTATAAAACTTTCATCTTGTCGTCATTGTGCTTTCTGGTTTTTTTCAGGCTATGATAAAATCTAAGGAAATAAAGAACGAACAACACGATTTGGGATAGGAACCGTCGTTGTCGTATCCCTAGAAAATGGTGGTAAACACGGACTCACCTGCCAAACTGGTTTGGATTGAGATTTTTATCGGGTATCAGGGAACCATGTGATTATAAATTAGACTTGATCAAAAGGGGCCAAAACTTGAAATGCAGCCTGTTTGACCGACCCATGCCAAATTCTAATTATTCTTTACTTTTAAACTTTTTATTTGAAAATAAAAAATAGTGAAAGAAAAGAGATCACTGCCATTTTCACATCACTTATTCGGGAATAAAACCATAGAAATTCAAAAGGAACTGAAAATGTTAGGATCGTTTTAATGTTTAAAATAACCAAATAGATCTTTCTGTTTAGTTTTTTACTAACAAATACCAAACGATTCCCTATAAAATACACTATGATTTGATCATTATGATATCAAATAATTATATAATATATATTTGAAATGATAAAAATTGGACTAATTGGGTTGGTCGAGGTTGAACCATTGAATAACTTTAAAATACATTATATTTTAGCCACTAAGATATAAAATAATAGCATAATATATTATGCAAGAGAAAATAGCTTGTTTTAGAATGTCAAACCAATGATGTTCATTTGTTTTACTTGATGGCCAAATCCCGTGTTGGTCAAACCAATTCAACTCTTTTATTTTATGGTTAGCGGTTAGCCCATTAGATACCATGCATTAGTTTATTGTTAAATTTTTTATTTTTAGCAATAAAAAGAAGTATTGTTTTTGCCTCTTCATATATATTTTATCACCACGGAGAAATAAAAGGGCTTAATGAAAAAATTGACACTCTTGAACCCGTTTAAATCCGCATGTGTACGGTAAGTTGGCCCGTTCCACAGAGGAAAGAGGAAAAAATTGACACTCTCTATTCTATCATTCCTACAAACGCTCCTGGAGCAGGAAATTTGAAATGGGGGAAGGGTTTTTTCCTCTCTGCTATTATATCTTTTTAATTTAAAAAGATGCAACAAATGTACTTAGTGTGATTGGTTATGATCTTTACTTTTTCTTAAAATGGTCATGATTCGAATCCCACTACGTGTCTTTTTAATGAATTAAAAAAAGTAAGTGTGAAGACCAAAATGTCCTTCCTACTTTCACTCTCGTTGCAGGAAATTTGAAATGGGGCTCCCGTTTTTCCCTTCGGTGTATTATATTATGTGTAGATTACACGTGTCATACGTTTCCCTGCCAAAATAAGGACCGCCGTCGCAATAGTTCAGCTGATCTGGAAATCTATAAATACCTCAACCTCTCCAATTTCACGGCTGGATGATCGCCGGCGCCGTTGATACTTCCGAGCTAAATCGCAGCCAACCTGTAGGCCGTCGCTAAAAACGTAAGGCAAAATTTACCTGCTGGACTTCTCTTCTCCCGCCGGCGGGACAAATTGAAAATCAAAAGGAAGAAGCAACATATCGAGAGGAGCCTGCAAAATTTCTAGCCTCTAATCCTCTCATATCTCGACGATATCTCCCAAACGGCCACCGCGTCAGCAGAAGGCCCCCAAGGTAATTGAGAGTAAGAACGAAGTTTGTGATTATTCCGGCGGTGGCGCGGTTGATGCTATGAGTGTATTGGAAGAGTTGGCGTTTGCGGCGGAGGAGGAGCTGGAATTGTCTGCTGATCAAATTAGAGTCAACGATCAGTTGCAGGAGGATGAGGTAGCGAATTATGATTGGCTTGTTGTTGATTGTGGATTGTTGAATTTTGTTTATTGCCTGTGAATCCTGAGAACTAGAATTCGAATGAAATAGTTGCTTCCTTCCTGCGCCAATGGCTTTGGTGCTAATTGTGTTTCAACTTGATTCATTATGTGCCAATGGCTTTGGAGTCCTGCTGAAAGTCTACCAGGGTAGTCACGGTAAAACTAAATTCGATTCCGAATGTTAATTCGTGTATAGAACTACGATTTCGCCTTCTCCAATTAGCATATGATGTAGTAAGTTCCCATCCATGCTTAATTTGGGTAGCAGAATTCAAATCAGTGGAAGCAGGAAGATAGCAATTCTGGTTTGTTCACTAGCTTGACTCAATGAAAACTTTTCCCTTGACAATCTCCATGGCTTCTTTTCTTTTTGCATAAATTTCCTGCAGTTGCTTGCAATGGAGTCTATCTATGGAGAAAATGTCATCATTCTGGACAGGCAGAGAGGCTTGAGAACTTTCCAGGTTACTTACTCACTCACTACTCACTCATAGACGAATGAATCGATACCGTGTTGGATGATTGAATGAATTGAATATTATGATAACATGTCTATGTTGCAGGTTCACATTGAACCTAAAATTCCTGATGAACTTACCATAACCACGAAACTTTGTACAACGAGTAGTGAGATGGAGATGGCAAGCACAAGTTCAACAGACGAATTCTCATATTCATTCAGAGTCAAGTTTCTTCCCCCAATTGTGTTGACCTGCTCATTCCCTACATCTTACCCGAGCCACAAACCTCCACATTTCATCATTTCTGTTCAGTGGTTGGACTCGCTTAAAATTTCCGGTATGTGTTCTGTGTTGGATTCCATATGGATGGAACTACAAGGGCAAGAAGTCATGTACCAATGGATCGACTGGCTTCAAAGCTCTTCACTTTCTCACCTTGGAATCCATCAACAGATCATACTCGGTCCTTACGGAATAAAGCATGCTGGAGACAGGCGTGCAGTTTCAGAAAGCATCTCCCCGGATTCCGACATTCCCTTACTGAGGAGGTATAATGATGAGCAGGTCCTTGAGAATTTCCTCAACAACTTGCATGAGTGCTGCATCTGTTTCTCTGAGCACCCAGGTAGATAGATTAATAGATACCTTCTACCCCACGTCACTAACATTATGCATTTATTTCCTGCCAGGAATGATTTTTGTAGAGTGACCCATCACCTTTTTTTTTTTTTTTGGTGTCTGTGTGTCTGCGTGATTTCATTGAACCAGGCGGTGACTTTGTCAGGCTACCATGTCAGCATTTCTTCTGTCAGAACTGCATCTCGACTTATTCCGACTTGCACGTTTCAGAAGGCACCGTGAATAAACTCCTCTGTCCGGAGTTGAAATGCAGGGGGATGATACCACCTGGTATATTGAAACAGTTGCTCGGCAATGAAAAATACGATCGCTACGAGTCTCTGATGCTGCAGAAAACGCTGGATTGTATGTCAGATGCTGTGTATTGCCCGAGATGTGAATTCGTTTGCATTGAAGACGAGGACCATTTTGCTCAGTGCTCCAAGTGTTATTTCAACTTTTGCTCTCTTTGCAATGGTGCACGCCATGTGGGTGAACCTTGCCTATCCCCAGAGTCGAAGCTTCAACTATTGGAGGTAAGCTTCTCTTAGCCCTTCCTTTCTTTTCCTCTCTTTTGTGATTGTGAGGGAAACTAATGCCGCCTGCTTTCCTTCCATTCTGTCCCCTCCATAGGCGAGTCTCAAGTCCCCTTCTCGAATCACGGGGGCTCAGAGGCGGCTGGAGTTGGAACATAAGATCAACGAAATCATGAGCGAGAGGGAGGTGGCTCGTGTTTCCAAGATTTGCCCACATTGCAAAATGGCGATCTCGAGAATCGATGGCTGCAACAAGATGGTCTGCGGGAGCTGTGGGAAGTACTTCTGTTACCTGTGTAACAAACCCATTAGCGGATATGAACACTTCAGGTCAGAAAATCAATGTTCTTTATCCCTCTTTGTCCTTGATGTATGTAAAATTTAGGAGCCAAACTGACTGGTACAGCATATCAACCACTCAGGGATGGTGCCTGTGAGTTATTCCCAACGGTGTCATCGGTTCAGCAGCAGTGGCAGGAGCGGATGAATGGCCGTCAGGCTGTGGGTCGACTCCGATCTGAACTCAATCTCGGTCGTGGTCACAAATGCCCTTTGTGTAGTCAAGAGAATGTGAAGGTGGATGCTTGATTCTTGGTGTTTGGTTCTTTTTTTTTTCTCTTCCTCTGATGGTGCCTGGCTTATGGATTGTATTACCATTATATCGTGCAGACGGACAATAACAATCACGTATTATGCTGGGCGTGCCAGACGCACTACTGTTACTTGTGCCGCAAGGTTGTGAAGCGCAGCAGCGAGCATTTCGGGCCGAAGAAATGCAAGCAGCATACAGAGGGATAGAAGGTCGAGCGGATACAATACTACTCTGGTTTTGCTATTGCTTAATTGATGTCATCATTAGCTCATTAGCTTTACTTTGTATGTTCGGACATTCGAATATTTATGTTCTCTAATCAAGTTGTGGAATTCCAGAGCAAGAGTTGCTTGATTACATCTCGGGGGGTTACTGTGTGACTGTGAAGTCTTTAAATCATTTTCGATTAAGTTCATAAATCCGACAAACATATCGTGTAAATAATATGATATATCGTTGTATTGTGATATATTGTCAATTTGTCTTTCTTTTTAGTTTGTTTAGTTTGAGTTTTAGAACCAGAAACTTTTCTGCATTTTTTGTTCTTGTTTTTTTTTTTTTTTCACACGGGTTTTAATCGCTTGTTTTTAAGGAGTTAATGGACAATGTAGTCGCTGAACTTTCATTTTTCCTATTCAAGTCCTTCAACAATTTATATTTTCATCTAGGTCACATGTTAGTCATGTGATCCCATATATAGCATTGAGGGTGACTGGTGGAGTTGAACATCTACCTACAAAATTGGCTTGTTCCTGAGCTCTTCATATGCCTTGTCATTGTTTTCATTAGTTTCTTCAACATCCCTAAATTCTTTATAGTCCCTCTATGCATGTCATCTTCATTGTCCATGTTTGTTTCTTCATGCTCGAGAATTCTTAGTACCATCGTCTTGTTTGTTTCTTCATTATCCATCCTGTAAAATCGGAATCAGAATCATATATCGATATGCAAAAGGAAGTTAAGCAATTACAAACAAAATGGATCATATACAAAAAGTTGATGTGAGATCGATAATTTTTTTAAAAAAATCGACCGCTTGTTGAACGTAGCAAAATGAAAATAGCGTATTCGGTCTACCACATATACTTACTTGTCGACCGTTTTGTCCAAGTCACCGTAGCAAAGTCCTTATTTTTTCATAGAAAATTATATTAATTGTTCTATTTAAAATGATATTCAATTTAGGGTTATAGGTATAATATACCCTCTACTATGTCGTTTTATCAAACATGTCCCTCTACTATTTTTTACATCAAACATGCCCTTCTACTTTGAAAAAATTATCAAACATGCCCTTCTTATAAAATTTCCATCCAAAAATCGTTAACCACGATTGAACTTTGATTTGGGCGACACAAATGTCTAAACTATCCTTAATAATTTGACTTTATAATTTTTTTGTTCCTTTGTATAGTCAAATAATTCTAATATTTTCACTTTGACGAGACCCAAAAAAATAAAAATAGGGGACAAAACTGACATTTCGTCTCTCATTTGCTGATGTAGGGTCATCTAAATATCAGTTCAACCATGATTGAGGATTTTTTCAATGGAAATTTTAACAAAAGTGCATGTTTGATAATTTTTCGGGTAATGTCTATTTTTTATCCAAACCTATTAAAATTCTATTAATTATCCAAATCTTTCGTAATGTATCAAAATATTAGTCATTTTTACGTTATTATTAATAATTTTGTAACTCTTTTCTTAGTTAAAGTACTAAAATTTTAGAATGTAGACCTTCTGAGTCTCTTCCAAGTCAATACCAGGTTGCCAAGTCAATATTACTAACAAAATTGCTAACTGTGAGTTAACATTTGGCTAATTTTTAGTATTTCGATAGGTTTGGATTATATAAAAGAATCTGAAAAAAAAAGTTTGGATAAAAAATAGACATTACCCTAATTTTTCCAAAGTATAGGGCATGTTTGATGTAAAAAATAGTAGAGGGGCATGTTTGATAAAATGACATAGTAGAGAGACATATTATACCTATAACCTTTCAGTTTAATATATTTTGGAACAAAAAATTGAGATATATATTACCAGTCTATACCATGACAGTAATGTTAATATACCACAGAGGTATTAATATATATAAAGCATAAAATGATTGTATATGTGATAGTAGGAATATACTAACTGTTACTTACCAGCTTTCATCACCGTCTACACCAATTACTACCCTATACCATGGCCATGGTGGTATATTTGGTCCAAAAAAAATTTCTTCAAAAATTTGTAGATATGATAGAACACGATGAAAATGTCTCTCTTGTGCATAATTTTTCAAAATTTGAGTGAAAACAAAGGTGGTATAGAGTGGTATCATGGTAGTAACGAGCAGTATGGGTGGTACACAAAGTTTCCTCGAAATATATTGAGAATAAATATCATTTTGTAGATCATAAAGATATCGTTCCATCTGTACAATTTTTTTTTAGATTCAACTTCAAACAAACAAGATACAAGCCGATTAAATGTAAGAATTACTCTCACTAGTAAGACCTTGCCACATTTAATATCAAAGGCCCAAATCTGATTATGCACAAGTGCATAACAAGAGGTTATTGACCCTATCCAAGACCAACTGTTGTTAGTGAATCCTAGGCCTGGTTTAGTGCAATTTTGTTGCTATTGTGGTTGTCGTATTGTGACAGCAAAGGTATAACCACAACGTCATGAAAATGTGAAAGAGTAACATGTTTAGTTGTTAATTATAAGAAATTATGGAAATTTTCACTTTTTGTGTGTTTAGTTACTTAGTTGGACCCCACTTAGTATTAATATTGAGAATAAGACAAAATTATAAAATAATGGAAGAAATATTGTGATATGATGAGTTAGGAGAAATTGAGAAAGAAAAATATATGAGAATAATATTGACAATAATGTCTAGGGTACGAGTTATACGAAAATTAATAGAAAAAATATACAAAGCAAGTTTAATTTAGTGAGATTTGATCATATTTATTTGAGTGAAATTATTACAACAATGGATAGAATCTCAAAAGAAATAGGTTTTGAAAACAACAAGGAAGCTATTTTAAGTTTTTTAAAAAAATTCTTAATATGACTTTAAGTTGTTTCACAGTTGTCAGCTAATTTTTGTTGTGTTGCCAACTCCTATTGCCTCAACAACAAATGAAAATGTAACTAAATATGTATTTCGATCTTTGTTTTCACATGTAAAAATAGATAACTGAAACTAAAAATGATACTAAACGGGTTCCTAGTGTATTTGCTGAACCACGAACCGAAACACCAAATTTGTATATGATTATTTCGTAATCCATTATGAAATTATAACTAATTAGTATCATGTAAAAAAATTACTTATTGTTTAGTTTATTGCAGTGTTTATGAAATTGTACCATATTAACAATTTGATCGAAAAATATTTTCGACTCTAATTTAATAGAAAACTTTTAACAATATAAAATTATTGAACCATAATTTCATCGTATCTCTAACTTTTTGGATCCAATGTCAATTTCGTATATCATTAGTTTATGGTTAAATCTCAAATGCCATTAGAAATTACCTTTCTCGTGTTGAACTCGAACTAACATTTTTATTACCTAAATTACTTTGTTTATAGAAGAACATTGCACGTGTCATACGTTTTCCTCCCAAAATAAGGATCGTCGTCGCAATAGTTCAGCTGATCTGCAAATCTATAAATACCTTAACGGCTCAACCCAACCAATTTCACGGCTAGATGATCGCCGGCGCCGTTGATACTTCCGAGCTAAATCGCCGCCAACTTTTAGAGCGTCTCGATCAACCCTCCGCCCCCATTGTTACCCACTGACCCAACCCCAACGCGACCGTCGCCCAAAAGACAAAGAAGCAAATCTACCTGCTCGAGTTCTCTCCTCCTGCCGGCGGGACAATTTGAAAAGCAAAAGGAAACATGCCGAGTGGAGCGTGCAAAATTTCTAGCCTCGATTCCTCTCGTATCTCGTCGATTTCTCCCAAACTGCCACCGCCCCGGCGGAAAACCCCCAAAAAATCATCTGTCGATACGTGTCAGCCAGTAGATGTTCACCACGGCGTCGCCGAGGCAGGTCCTTCGAATTCGCCTAGTTCAGGTGAATCCCCAGCTGAGAAGGAGAAATTGTTGGAGACAGATAACAGGGTTAGTGAGAGTAAGTACGAAATTTGTGATGGTTCCGGCGGTGGCGGCGCGGTTGATGTTATGAGTGTATTGGAAGAGTTAGCGTTAGCGGCGGCGGAGGAGGAGCTGGAGTTGTCTGCTGATCAAATTAGAGTCAACGATCAGTTGCAGGAGAATGAGGTAACAAATCATGATTACCTGTGAACATTGGCGTAGCCAGAGAAATATTTCAGTGGGGTCCAAGAATTATATGAAAATTAAAACCACAGAACTCATTAAACATAACTCAAGATATATTGTAATGGTGCAGCTGGTGTCTCAGCTGGTGTCTCGTATTCATGGGTCCAAGATTTAATTCTTGCATGTCTCATATGTATTTTCATTCATTTTTAACGGGCACCCATTTTCAAGTGGGGTCCATTGACCCCACACCACATAACGTGGCTCCGCCACTGCCTGTGAATCCTGGGGACAAGAATTTGAATGAAATAGTTGTTTCCTTGGCTTTGGTGCTACTTGTGTTTCAACATGATTGATTATGTGCTCCTGCTGGAAGTCTACCAGTGTAGTGACTGACTGACTGTAAAACTCGGGGCGAATCGGAATGTTAATTCGTGCATGGAACTACGATTTCGCTTCTCCACGGCTTGTTCACTAGCTAGAGTTATGAGAACTTTTCTCTTGACAATCTCCACGGCTTCTTTTCTTTTTGTATAAATTTCCTGCAGCTGCTAGCAATGGAGTCCATCTATGGAGAAAATGTCATCATTCGGGACAGGCAGAGAGGCTTGAGAACTTTCCAGGTTACTTACTCACTCACTACTCACTCATAGACGAATGAATCGATACCTGAGTTGGATGATTGAATAAATTGAAGATCCTGATGACACGTTTATGTTGCAGATTCACATTGAACCTAAAATTCATGATGAACTTACCATAGCCACGAAACTTTGTACGACGAGTAATAAGATGGAGATGGCAAGCACGAGTTCTTTAGACGAATTCTCATATTCGTTCGGGGTCCAGTTTCTTCCGCCAATCGTGTTGACCTGCTCATTCCCTGCATCATACCCAAGCCACAAACCTCCACGTTTCACCATTTCTGTTCAGTGGTTGGACTCACTTAAAATTTCCAGTCTGTGTTCTGTGTTGGATTCAATATGGATGGAACTACAAGGGCAAGAAGTTATGTACCAATGGATCGACTGGCTTCAAAGCTCTTCACTTTCTTACCTTGGCATCCATCAACAGATCATACTCGGTCCTTATGGAATAAAGGCTATTGGCGACAGGCGTGCAGTTTCAGAAAGCATCTCCCCCGATTCCGACATTCCTTTGTTGATGAGGTATAATGACGAGCAGGTCCGGGAGAGTTTCCTCAACAACTTGCATGAGTGCTGCATCTGTTTCTCTGAGCACCCAGGTAGATAGATAAATAGATACCTTGTATCCCACGTCACTAACCTTAAGCGTTTGTCCTACCAGGAACGATTTTTGTAGCGTGACCCATCACTTTTATTTTGTGTGTCTCTGTGTGTGTGCGTGATTTCATTGAGCCAGGCATTGACTTTGTCAGGCTACCATGTCAGCATTTCTTCTGTCGGAGCTGCATCGGGACTTACTCCGATTTGCACGTTTCAGAAGGCACCGTGAATAAACTCCTCTGTCCTGAGTCAAAATGTGGGGGGATGATACCACCTAGTACAATGAAACATTTTCTCGGCGATGATAAATATGTTCGCTACGAGTCTCTGATGCTGCAGAAGACGCTGGATTGTATGTCAGATGCTGTGTATTGCCCGAGATGTGAATTCGTCTGCATTGAAGATGAGGACCACTTTGCTCAGTGTTCCAAGTGTTTCTTTAGCTTTTGCTCTCTCTGCAAGAGTGCACGCCATGTGGGCGAACCTTGCATATCCCCAGAGTCGAAGCTTCAACTATTGGAGGTAAGCTTCTCTTAGCCCTTTCTTTTCCCTCTTTTCTGATTGTTGATGGAAACTAATGCCTCCTGCTTTCCTTCCATTGTGGCCCCATAGGCGAGCCTCGTGTCTGCTTCTCGAATCACGGGGGCTCAGAGGCGGCTGGAGCTGGAAAATAAGATCAACGATATCATAAGGGAGCTGGAAAATAGGATCAACGAAATCATGAGCGAGATGGAGGTGGCTCGTGTTTGCAAGATTTGCCCACATTGCAAAATGGCGATCTCGAAAATCGATGGCTGCAACAAGATGGTCTGCGGGAGCTGTGGGAAGTACTTCTGTTACCTATGTAACAAACCCATTAACGGATATGAACACTTCAGGTCAGAAAATCAATGTTCTTTATCCCTCTTTGCCCTTGAAGTATGTAAAATTTAGGAGCCAAACTGACTGGTACAGCATATCAACCACTCAGGGGTGGAGCCTGTAAATTATTCCAAACAGTATCACCGGACCAGTGGCAGGAGCGGACCAATGGCCGTCGGGCTGTGAGTCGACTCCGATCTGAACTCAACCAGGAGCGGACGAATGGCCGTCAGGCTTTGCGTCGACTCCGATCTGAACTCAACCTCGGCCGAGGGCACAAATGCCCTTTGTGTAGTCAAGAGAATGTGAAGGTGGATGCTTGATTCCTGGTGTTTGGTTCTTTTTTTTTTTTTTTTTTTTTTTTGCTGGTGATGCCTGGCTTATACATTTGTATTATCATTATATCGTGCAGACAGACAATAACAATCACGTATTCTGCTGGGCGTGCCAGACGCACTACTGTTACTTGTGTCGCAAGGTTGTGAAGCGCAGCAGCGAGCATTTCGGGCCGAAGAAATGCAAGCAGCATACAGCGGGATAGAGGGTTGAGCGGATACTACTCTGGTTTTGCTATTATTGCCTAATTGTAATTGATGTCATCTATTACCTCATTTACAAATGCATTTTTCTGGGAAGTATTGGACAGAGAACACATGCTTTGGCAAAAGACATTGCAGGTTGTCTTCAGCACCAAGCAAACCAGCCAAGAAGGTGAGACGGAGCCTGTTTCTTGATGGCCCTGTTTTCCCCTTTTCGTCGGGTTCGGTAAAACGGATTGGGCTTGACCCGCTGAATATCCATGGGCCTGCCGCTAAAAATTCAATGGCTCGCGCAGTCGCGCTTATAAAATGACCGACTAACCCTTTTTCCTAACTACTCTTTTAGTACACGTGTCATACGCTCCTACCAGAAAAAGAATCAATAACCGTCGGAATGGTTTTTTGTTCAGCTGATCTGGAATTGGAAATGTATATAGAGACCTAAATACCTCCAATCTCCTCGTCCTAGCTGATCCCCGGCGGCCGTTGATATATTCCGACTCCGAGTTCAATCGCCGTTTACGGTTCAGCGTCTCTGTGTTCCCCGCACGCGAAGCTCTCTCCACCGCCAAGGTTCCCCAATAACTGAACGGCGAGAGGTGATCGCCGCCATATCTCGCCGCCAAAAACGAGGATCAATTTACCTGCTCGAGTTCTCCTCTCCCACCAGCCGGACAGCTAGAACAGCGGAAGGGAGAGGCAACATGTCGAGAGGAGGCAGCTTCGATTCCTCTCATCTCCCGTCGATTTGTCCTCCTGAACTTTCTAAACCCCCTCACAAACGCCCACCACGCCGCCGGAAGACGCCCAAAAAGTCTCCCGTCAAGAAGTATGAGCCGGTCAACGTCCGCCACGGCGTCGCCGAGGCAGGTCCTTCGAATTCGGATACTTATGGACCGGTTTCGCCGCGAAATGAGCCGAGTTTGCCTAGTTCAGTTGAATCCCCAGCCGAGGAGAACTTGTTGGAGCCAGATAACAGGGTTAGCGGGAGTAAGAATGAAGTCTGTGATGGCTCGGGCGGTGGCATGGTTATTGATGTTATGAATGTATTGGAAGAGTTTCAGCTTGGGGCGGAAGAACCCGAGTTGTCTGCTGATCAGTTCAGAATCAACGATCAGTTACAGGAGGACGAGGTAAAATTTGTGAATCGTTTGAATTGAACAAATGTTGATTATGATTGTGGCTTGCTTGTTAGGAGTTCTTCCTGTGAATGGTCGAATTTGTTTTATGGCCTGTGAATCTTGGAACTAGAATTTGGATGAAATAGTTGCTTCTTTATGTGTGCCTAACGTCATGTTGGAAGTCTGCTAGGCAATCACAGTACAAATAAGGGAGATTAGGCATGAATCGCGTGTAGAATGACGATTTGTCCTTCTTCCCATTGGCATGATGCACTATGTTACATCCAAACTTCTATAGGAATAATTTCAGAAGAATTTTGGAAACAGAACACAAAGCAATAGATATAGAAGATGAGAAGAATTTCAGAAGGATAGTTATTCTGGTTTGATCTATGAAAAAATTGCGTGTAACATCTCCGTGGCTTTGTTCTTTGATTACTTCCCTGTAGTTACTTGCAATGGAGTCCATTTATGGAGAAAATGTCATCATTCTGGACAGGCAGAGAGGCTTGAGATCTTTCGAGGTTACTTACTCACTCAGTGCACCAATTCATTGGTAACTTAGTTGGATGATTGAATAATATGAAGATTCTGATGACATTTATATGTTGCAGATTCGTATTGAACCTAAAATTCCTGATGAACTTACCATAACCACAAAACTTACTTCATCAAATAGTAAGATGCAGACGACAAGCACAACAATTACTGCAGACGAGTTCTCATATTCGTTTAGAGTCCAGTTTGTTCCGCCAATTGTGTTGACCTGCTCTTTCCCCAAATCGTACCCAAGTCACAAACCTCCACATTTCACCATTTCTGTTCAGTGGCTGGATTCCCTTAGAATTTCGAGTCTTTGTTCGGTTCTAGATTCGATATGGATGGAACAACAGGGGCAAGAAGTTATGTACCAATGGATTGACTGGCTTCAAAGCTTTTCTCTTCCTCACCTCGGGATACATCAAGAGATCATACTCGGTCCTTATGGAGTAAAGCATACTGGAGACAGGCGTGCAGTTTCAGAAAGTGTCTCCCCAGATGTTGATATTCCTTCACTGAGGAGGTATAATGATGAGCAAACCCTTGAGAATTTCCTTAACAACTTGCATGAGTGCTGCATCTGTTTCTCGGAGTACCCAGGTAGAATATCTACTCTTCCCGTCTCTATACAGTTAGGTTTCCACATTCAGCATCGAGTATATGCATCTCGTTTATTTCCCAAAACTCATATCTGATTTACTAATCTTATAAATATATGTACTACCAAGCATAATTTTTTTGTAAACTGACACATCACCTTTTTTTGTGTTTACATTGACCAGGCAGTGACTTTTTCAGACTACCATGCCAGCATTTCTTCTGCCGGAACTGCATCAAGACTTATTCAGACTTGCATGTTTCAGAAGGCACTGTGAATAAACTCCTGTGCCCTCAGTCAAAATGTGGGGGTATGGTACCACCTGGTCTATTGAAACAGTTACTCGGCGATGAAAAGTATGAACGCTACGAGTCCTTGTTGCTACAGAAGACGCTCGAGTGTATGTCAGATGCTGTGTATTGCCCAAGATGTGAGTTTGTCTGCATTGAAGATGACGACAATTTCGCTCAGTGCTCCAAGTGCTTCTTTAACTTTTGCTCTCTTTGCAAGAATTCACGCCATGTAGGTGAACCTTGCCTGACCCCAGAGTTGAAGCTTCAATTATTGGAGGTATGTTATCTAGCCCTTTCTTTCTTTCTTTCTTCTCATTTCAGGTTGTTGATGAAACTAAAGCCCTCATTTTTCTCCGTTCTGGGCTTCACAGATGCGCCTCAAGTCTTCTCAAATTAGCTCAACTCAGAGGCTTGCGGAACAAAATAAGATCAACGAACTTTTGAGTGAGAAGGAAATAGCTCGAGATGCCAAGCTTTGTCCACATTGCAAAATGGCAATTTCGAAGACCGAGGGCTGTAACAAGATGGTTTGTGGTAGTTGTGGGAACTACTTCTGTTACCTCTGTAGCAAAGCCATCACAGGATATGAACACTTCAGGTAATAACCCTCCAGTTACTCGAACACGAATAGAGGTGGCAAATGGATTGTGTTGGTGGGTTCATGGTCTGGGTTGAAATGGGTTGGTGGGCTGCTAGATTAATGATATTCTCTGGAAAATTGTAATCGGTTAAGATGAGTTTAAGTATGTCGAGTTGGTATTTGCCACTGTCTAAATGAAGTGTTAGACATCAATGTACTCTCTATGTACCCTTGTTGCAACTTTTTGGAGCAAACTGACTGGTGTCGTTTTGAAGGGATGGAGCCTGTGAACTATTCTCACAAGAAGCTATTCAGCAGTGGGAGGCTCAGATGAATATGCGTCAGACTGTTGGTCGGGTTCGAGCTGAACTCAACCTTGGTGAAGCTCACTCGTGTCCTAATTGTGGTCAACGGAATGCCAAGGTTCGTAGTAGGAAGATGTTTGATTCCTGGTTTATGGTTCCTTGATGATGCCTACTTCTTGCTTATAACATGCACTGTTAATTCTATCACGCAGACGGACAATAACAATCACATATTCTGCTGGGCGTGCCAAAAGCACTACTGTTACTTGTGTCGCAAGGTTGTGAAGCGTAGCAGTGAGCATTATGGCCCGAAGAAATGCAAGCAGCATACAGCTGGATAGCCTTCAAGTTCAGTCATTACCAGTTAGACGATTCCTTCCAGCTTCTTGACTGCTTGTCTGGAAGCTTTGGTTGTGGAAACAGTGGAAGTACTCGTCTGATTGGATAGTAGTACATATAATTCATTTAAACTATAATTCATGCATTTTTTATGGGTTTGAGACAATGAATTTTCAAAACCACACATTTTTAGTATACACATAATCTTAATATGCATACTCGTAATACATCATTTCCAACATACTCGTAATACATCATTTCCAGAATCAAAGGTTCCAAACGAACTCTTAATGAATTTGTGGTGTGCTTTTATAAATTTGTGTTCGCTTTTCTACGATTTGTGGAGCACTTGTGGTATGCTTTATGAGACTTGTGCTCTACTTCAGTAAACTTCTAATTTGCTTCAAGAGACTTGTGGTGTGTTTTACGGAAGTTCTGGTATACTTTGAGGAACTTGTGGACATAAAAATAAGTAACTTGGACAAAAAGAAACGAAGTGACTTAGCCAAATCTTTTTTGTTGATAACCTCAGACCAATCAATCGAATATTGATTAATACATAATTGATCGAACATTACTTGAAAAAGAAAATGGCTCTTCTGTTCAGAAATGAAATGTTCCAAATGTTCATGGAAATTCTTGCTCCCATTAGACCATTTGTATCTATATGCATTAGGATCCCAATTCATGGATCTTTCGGCTCGAGCGCAGTACAACGGAGAGTTGTATGCTGCGTTCGGGAAGGATGAATCGCTCCTGAAAAGGAATCTATTGATTCTCTCCCAATTGGTTAATTGGTTGGACCGTAGGTGCGATGATTTACTTCACGGGCGAGGTCTCTGGTTCAAGTCGTGGTATACTTTGAGGAACTTGTGGTTTGTGAAGTTGTGGTGTGATTTTGTAATGTGCATTTAGTGGTTCCCCTCCTTCATTTAATGCCTAACTCACGTTGGTCTCTTCTTCCTTCCCCAATTTTTCATAATACCAAGTGTATCTCTCATTCCCCTTTTCTTCATTAATTGTGATCAAGTCATTTAAATTAAAAAGTCATCAAAACGAAATGTTCCTATTGACTAGAGTTAGTGTTAGCATTCTAGCACCTCCCAATTATTAGTGTTTACCCTTAATTAAAACTCTAGATATTAATTTATATGTGCTAAATTTTGATGGGCTTAGATAAACCGACTAATCTCAACCCACCACCCGGCCGCAGGGTTCAAAATAGAGTGAGTAACCTTAGGGTGCTTAACATGAGTAATCAAATCTGGACCCTTACTTTTAAGTGGACTGCCGATCTAAGGGTTAAGAATTAAATACATTTTTATTTTCCCTACTTTTTTTAATGGATCATATTTTTTCGGTCTAATTTGGATTTCAATTTTTTTACACAGATGGAACGAGTTCGTCGTGCTTTACAAAATGAGATCCATTTTCATTATTTTTAAGAAAAAAATTCCATACCTTTCATGACCAACTCCATATCATATGCATGGTTGTCACGCCGCCCGGCGTGCCACCGGTTGTACCGGGTTCAACCGGTACTGGTCATAAAATCGGCGTGACACCACCGGTATGACCGGCATGATTGATATACGAATCTCTAAGTAAAATGACCTTATTTTAGAGAATTTAATTGATAAAAATTATTTTATGAGTATAAACGTTAAATATTGATGTTATTTGTTGGATTCAAGTATAAATGGAGGAAGCAGCAGTTGCAGATTTCGTTGGAGCGGATGGCAGCTGGCGGACGGAGCTGTTCTCGGCTCTCCTTCCTGGCGAAGTACTGCAGAAGCTGCAAAGCATCGAAGTTGACCACCTTTCTGCGGACGAGGACACCATTTTCTGGACAACAACCTCTGATGGAAGATTCTCTGTGAAGACAGCGTACAAACTTCTCAACCAACAGCCGCAGGATCCTAACGAGAATATTTGGAAGATCATTTGGAGAATTCAAGTCCCTGAACGTGTGCGATGCTTCGTCTGGCTTACTTTCCTCAACAAACTGGTAACTAATGAAGAGCGCTTCCGTAGAAAGGTGGCTCTCAATCCCTTTTGCACCCGTTGCACAGGTCAGACTGAGAACATCCTGCATATTCAGCGAGACTGCCCGCCAGCTCACTTCTTTTGGTCTCGGCGTATCCCGGGACAGAAGCAAGCGGCCTTCTTCAGTGCAGATCAACAGACGTGGCTCATGGATAACCTGCAGAGTGAGGAGTGCGACAGTTCCGGCTTGAGTTGACCTGCTTTTTTCAGTATGACAGCTTGGTTAATCTGGAAGAATAGGTGCACTACTGCTCTTGCCCCACCATCGCTAGCCCACTCTATTATAGTCAAGACAAAGGTATGGCACGAAGCCTGGAAAGCTCCGGTTTTGCTCTTGGATGGCAGGGAGACCCGCGCTACTAAGGTGATCACGGAGATCAGATGGGCGCCGCCGGCGGTGGGATGGACCTCCTTGAACATTGATGGCGCATCAAATGGTAACCCAGGGCCTGCTGGCCGGGAGGTTTGATGCGAGATTCAGATGGGATATGGGTAGCCGGTTTTGTAGCTAACATTGGGGAGGCCTCGGCTGCCCTTTCCGAGATGTGGGCGTTTTTATGGGCTGGATTTGGCTTGGAAGTAGGGAATGAATCAGAGCTCTGAGGATTGAGTAGGACTCTCAACTAGCTATTCAACTTATCAACAATCGCCATGATCCGGTACACCCTTATGCTACCTTGCTTGCGGCTATTCGTAGGAAGTTAGGACAAGACTGGTTGGTGAACATCACTCATACATACCGAGAAGGGAATAGAGCCGCGGACTGGCTCTCGAAGCACAGTCTCGTCTATCCCTACGGTATGCATGAGCTTGTGAACCCGCCTCATGGACTAGCTTCGATTCTTCAAGATGACCTCATGGGTATCGCTTTTGAGCGCAGAGTTGTAGCTACTTCTTCCTCCTCCTCCTCTCGCATGTAATCTCCCTTTCTTGGCTTCTTGCCTCCTTTTATGCAAAAAAAAAAGTATAAATGTTTAGGTATTGACTTTAAATGTCATGTTTAAATATAAGTATTTATAATTTTATTTGTAATATTGACCGGCATGAACCGGCACAAACCGGTATGTGCCACCGGTTGAACCATTCCACTTGCTAAACCGGCACGTTGGTATAAACCGGTTTGACAACCTTGATCATATGGTATCTTCTTCGTTTCTAAGTCGTTTTTTTTTTAAAATCACTGAAGGAACGAGTTCATCATGATCTATTGGATATACAAATTCTAAGTGAACAAAATACGTGACCATGAAATACCATATAATACCACCCTGGTACGAAGGGTGGTATCTTGTGGTACTCCTACAATCATGTATTCAACTATCCTACAATCTTAGTATGTTCATACCATCATGGTATGCTGTTCATACCATATGGTATGTTCTTATTTTAATACCAATCAATACCACCATGGTATAAACTCGTAAAAAATGCCTCAATTTTTTTGTTTAAAAAATATATCAAAGTGGATATCATTTTGAAGAGCACAATTAATTTGATTTATCTGTTAAAAAAATTGAATTCCGACTTAAAACGAGAGAGAAATCGTCTGTTAAAAACTAAAGGAAAACAGATTTAAGGCTTTCCAGAAGAGAGTGTGTGCTAGTATGGCGTATTCTAATTGAATTATGCATGGTTATTGACTATAGAGTTAAATTTCAATTCGAATAAATGACACATTTGGTCACTGGGATTACTAAATCGTGTTATGTTTAGTCACTAGAAAAAATTAATATAAATTTTGGTCACTCGAATTACTAAAACAGGTCACATTTAGTCACTCTCCCATTAGCCTCCGTCCTACTCCGGTCACTCAAATTACCTTTTTAATGAATGTCACTCGAATTACTAAAACATGTCACACTTAGTCACTCTCTGTTAGCCTCCATCCAACTTCGTTAATAAAGTTGGACGAAAACTAATGGGAAAGTGACTAAATGTGACATGTTTCAGTAATTCGAGTGACCAAAATTGATATTAACTTTTTCTAGTAATCAAACATGACATAATTTAGGGCTAAATTGCAAGTTTGGTCACTTAAATTAGTAGTAAAATTCACGTTAGCCACTATAATTACTTTATTCCATCTGTAGTCACTTAAATTAGGTTAACAGTCCAAGTTTGGTCACTGATCGTTAGTCTCCGTTAACTTTTGCTGATGTGGCGGTCAACTCTTATAGTTGACCGTTAAATGAGTGACGTGGCAATTAAAAAAAATAAAATTATTTTTTAATAATTTCCACCTCATTATTACAATAAATTAAAAAAAAATCATATTTTTTTAATAATTTCACAATAATTAAAAAATTGAGTTAGATCTAAGCAAATTCCCATCCACTCCACCGTGGAGGCCGAGGCATGGTAGATCGAGCGGCGGAGCTGCTGCGGCTGCTTCTGAGGCTGGACGCCGTCCTGGGGAATATCAATCCGACAGTGAGGGAGGCGAGGAGGAAGGCGAGGAGGCGGATAGTCGGGATTCAGGAGGTGCTCGACGGGATATGATTGGGACTTACACAAATAGATTTCTCCTCAGAAAGAAATACCCATCACTATATATATAACTCAAACCAGATCACTAAGCAGAACCCACAAGCTAAAAAAGCCTAAAATTTCCCCACTCCACATGCTTCGTCCCGTCTCCGCAAATGGATCAACGGTAGGGCTGGCTATTTGGTCCGGATTATTTGGTTTGGCCGAAACCGGACCGTATAACCCGGACCGGGATCGGACTGGGACCGGATAGCAAACAATTCAATCTCATATTCGGGCTTAGATTTGAGGTAAAAAACCCAGATAAAGACCGGATAAGAGACCCCCAACACCTAAAATCAAGATCAAATTGGGACCGGACCGAATCAAGACCGGACTGTATCCAATCCAATCTTTGGTCCTTATATTCCCGAAAAAGACCGAACTGGGACCAGATCAATTTGCTCCAATTTATCCGAACCGGACCGTATAGCCATCCCTAATCAACGGAATGTCTCGTTCTCCTCTCTCCTTCTTCTTCTTCTACTATCGCCGGCAGTAGTCTTGGGAGAGTGCGAGACTCACGATTCAGACCGCGACCGTGCGACGACCCTGAAGTACAAGCTGGTAGCAATCGCGTCGATTCTGCTGGCTGGAGCAATCGGAGTGTGCCTCCCTGTAGTCGCCCAGAAAAAGATTCCGGTCTAGCTTGCACCCGAACAAGAACGTGTTCTTCCTGGTGAAAGCCTTCTCCGCCGGAGTTATCCTTTCCACGGGATTCATCCACGTTTTTCCCG